TGGCATAGTTGGAGTTTGCATCATTTTGCCTTTGATGATTGCTGTCATATATTTATCAAGATCTGCAAAATATACTGGAAACTATGTCATGCACTCAACGATCTATACATATTACATTAGCATGAAGCCGTCTTTAGCTCCAAGGTAAGGCATCCTCTAATGCTCTGCTAGTGTGCTCCATATCAAGATCAAAACTTTGACCTCAAACTATGTGTCTGCTTGGTTGCAATTGAATTTTTATATAGTTTCCATTTGTTTGGAGTCATGAATGTCGGTCTAAGGTTCGAGGAATTGGAGTCCGCTTTTTGCCTCTCTTCTATTAAACCCCTATAAAAAAAGGAAAAAGAGAAAAAGCAGAAGCTTTGCTTTGCAATTTCCCCAACAAATGTTTCATATATAAATTTGTTTAACACTGCAATGTGGTTTGGATGTTATGTATTATTACATCATCAGGTAAATTGACAAAAACGTAGATTTACAATTTTGTCCGTAATCTGTCTTTGAAGCAGATGTTTTAGTGTTTCTTATGCATGAGTAATTGCTGAAGTCTTTTTCTTTCATAGAGACTCTTGAGCTACTAATGTCTGTGTGTTAATTAACATGTAGTTTAGTCTCTCAATACTGTGTGTGATTTTGCCATGTGATACAGTAAAGTCTTGGATCTCTTCGTGAAGGCCACTGAGTACAGGGACACTCCTGTCCATCGGATTGATGAAGAGCCTCTTCAGAAACTTTTTGTATTAGTCAGGAGTGAGTTGAATTTGGACGTGAAGAACATCCGCCAAGAACAAGCAAAGTTCTTTAAGCAACATCCTGGCTATGTGAAGGTCACATGTCTAACATCTACATTTTGAGTTGTCCATGAAGTTCTTCTTTCCTCACAGTCTGTCCTCTGTTTTCTATTTGCAGTCTGAATTATTGATTCAAGCTCATTTAACTCGTGAAACGTCAGATTTATCTCCAAACTTGCAATGTGATTTGAAACGGGTGCTTGAACTTGCTCCTCGTCTTCTTGAAGAATTGATGAAGGTACCATACTTTCTTATTGTATCTGTGCTTATTTATTTGTTTTCTTTTTGCTGTTAGACTTGGTAATAAGATGTTGCTACGTGCTGTATTTTGTATTTAGACAACTTATTTAAACATGTTCTTGAAATCATTGATGATTATTTAAGTGGGTATGTTCTTGAAGTGATGCCTGAATGATTTGAATGTCTTAATGATTTGCTACTGGGATACTCATCTTTGTGGCTTCTTACCATGAATAAGGTTTTCTGGAAATATTCTTGTTGTTTTTCACTTTCCAGGATTTAATACGTGCTGTGATCTTTTGCCCTACTTACATGAAATTCTTCTTGGTGCAGATGACACTCGTACCTCGCACTCCACAGGGGCATGGATGGCTGAGACCTGCAACTGGCGTAGTTGAACTGTCCCAGTGTATCGTGCAGGTTTCTATAATTTACAAAAACAACCACTATCTGTATGTTGGTGCTGAATGTTGCCAATCTTTATTTTCTAATCATAATTTTGACATTGAGCCTCCATGTTTATTTTATAGCTGCACAAGGAACGTTAACTCAAGGTTTTGTATGTAACTTCAAATTACATTTTGCTTACACCTTTTTCACCCTGTTCACCTGTTGTCATTTGGTGTCTTTTGTTTAGACTCTTTACTCCAAGTATTCTGTTACAAATGAAAGGAAAAGAGAGAAACAGGGAGTGAGGGTGTCATGTTATTGACATTTAACCTCAATCTTAATTCATGCAAGAAACAGATACTGGGGGTCTCATGTTATTGACTTGTAACCCCAATCTTAGTTCTTTAGCATGCATTTCAGTCTCATGTTATTGACTTCTGACTTCAATCTTAATTTTTTAGCATGCATTTCGGTCTCATGTTATTGACTTCTGACTTCAATCTTAATTCTTTAGCATGCACTTTTGGGTGCAGCAGCACTATTGAAGGCTTTATCTCTGTTAGATAGAGAAACCAGAGGACCTGAATTACTTTTGAAAAAACCAGGTCTTTATTTGAATTTATATCTGTTTAACCCTGATATCTTTATTCTCAGCTGATGTTGATAACATTTAGAATGGAGTTATATACAAAATGCTTTCAGTTGTATCTGGCAAGCAAGAAAAGATACTATAGTTTTAGAATTGTTTTGACTAGTTATTAAATGATAGAGAAGATAGAAAAGGCTTTTATCTTCCCTGGATATGTTGCTGCAAGTTCATTTTTCTTAGATGTTTTCTCCCACTATGTTGATTAGCTTGAGTGTCATTTGGGATTCACATTATTTCCCAGCCAAGTTTGTAGATATTGGCTTGTGCAGTTGATTGCAAATCTTCGTTTTGCATAAATGATTTCTCAAATTATTGAGGAGATTGATTATGTCAGGTTGCTAAGAGAATCAATTCTTCATTTCTTTTGACATTTTAAGCATACAGTTATTTGAGGCAAGCTTTCGTAGGCCATTTTTGAAAGCAGCTGTTATAACTATGCGCATCCATTCATGTTACAAGCATGACTAATGGTTTAATTGTCTAGAAAGTTCTAACATGGTTGCTTTGTCCATCAAATGATTCCCATGTTGCCTTCGGTTTCGTCAGGTTTATAGTTCTGGTGCCTGAAAAGTTGTCTGCTATTTTATCTAGGTTCTTTTGTTATTTTCCCTGATTTGAAGAAATACCTTTGGTAGTTATTTTGTCTGCATGTGGGTTCCTGAATCCAGGCAGTTCCATTAAGTGCAAGAAAAGCAACTGGATCTAGTGAGGGCTATGCACCCTTTCTGCAGCTGCCACATTTCAGTGAGACAGTGGTGAAAAAGATTGCAAGAAAGGTTCTCTCTCTCAACACCAATCCCAACCCCCCCCCCCAAAAAACAATCACCAAAAAAAAAAAGAAAAAACACAGATTAATTCTATAATCTTTAACTTCACCGCAGTCACCAAGCAGATTAGTGATTGCCATTCTATAATCTTAAGTTGACACTTGACAAATCAGGCATAGTTAGTAAACTTGGCCCAACCAGGCTCAGCATCATTGGTTTGATTATCGCCTCGCTAAACCCTTTTTGGTGCTGAATTTTCTCCTCCTCTTTCGCCCTTCTTTTGTTATATTTCTGATGTTGGCAGTAGATCCTTATGCATTTCTGTTTATATTTTTAGAAAATTCGCACATTTCAAGACTTCCGAGATATGAAACTGGAAGAGCGTGCGGAGCTTCTCAGTCAGGTTGCTGGGTTCTCTGCTTCGGAATCAGAAGATGTGGAGAAGGTTCTTCAAATGATGCCTTCAATTTCACTTGATATCTCGTGTGAGACTGAAGGTGAAGAGGGGATACAAGAGGGTGACATAGTCACACTGCATGCTTGGATCACTCTTGAGCGTGGCAATGGTTTGATTCGTGCCCTTCCACATGCTCCATATTTTCCTTGCGACAAAGAGGAGAATTTCTGGTTGCTGCTTGCGGACTCTCTGTCAAATGATGTCTGGGTATCCCAGAGGGTCAACTTTATGGATGAAGCTACAGCCATCATTGCTGCATCAAAAGCAATTCAAGAGTTGAAAGAAGGCTCTGGTGCTAGTGCAAGGGATGTAAAAGCAACTGTTAAAGAAGCAATTGCTAAGGTTAAAAAGGGATCTAGGCTAGTAATGGGCAAGTTCCAAGCTCCAGCTGAGGGAAACTACAACTTGACTTCTCTTTGCTTGTGCGACTCCTGGATTGGCTGTGATGTGAAGTCAAATCTGAAGTTGAAGGTTTTGAAACGCAGCAGGGCAGGTACAAGGGGCGTTGTCTCAACAGATGAAGTACCCACGGTGGAGGATGGAATTGAGGAGGAAGATGAGGAGGAAGAAGAAGAATATGATGATTATGAGAGTGAGTATAGTGAAGACGACGAGGACGTGAAAGACACAAAGAGCAGAGGGGCTGTAGCCAATGGTTCTGCTCACAATAAAAGTACTGGTTCAAGCTCTGATAGTTCAGGAAGTGAGGAGGATTAGAAGCTTTACATTTTTTTCATCATCTCTGTTCTCTCCAGCATTTTGTTTTTCCTCTTCATTTACAGTTTTGTCTTTTAATTTTTTGAGAGAAAGGGGAAAGTTCGTGCTGCAAGCTTAATTTTCCAGTTGTTACGTTTCACCAGTACTTGAACCTCCTGGAATCGTACGTAGTTACAGCTTTTACTGTGGTTCTATTGACGGAAAAGAAGAAATATGCATAATTTGTACGTCAAAATTGCTAATTGCCCATTTTATGAACTCAAATTCTTAAATGAACGTGTTAATTGCAGAATTTGCCTGAGAGTTATATCCTTGTAGAGTAAAGACTGACAAATGAAGTGCAAGCAATGACCGAGCGGACACATTGCAAATGTTTGCGGAACAGATTTGTTTGCGAAGCTAAAACTTTTGATGCCTATTGAATATTTTAGCTTCAAATGCCGACAAAATGCTGTTCATAAACTCTTATTCTAAATGTAACTTGATAGTTGGGTTACTGTAGCTTTTAACCTTGATAGTTGGGTTGGTATCTTTCTCGAGATATGATTTGTGCCACCTGGACCTGAAAGCTATGACCGCAGTTTCCAAAAGCTAAAAGAATTCCGCAGATTAGGTCTCTAGCCTATATCTATCCCACGGTTACATTTGGAATAAGAGATTATTTGGGATATTTTTTTGAAAAAATACTACAGCACTTTTAATGTAATGTATGTAAATAAAAAAAATGATTAAAAATGTGTTTCTAATATAAGTAAATAAAATTATGCAAAAAATAAACCATCCAACAAACTATTTACATTAGATGCCAGCCTTTCATAAGTAATACTCCCCCTGTTTGAAAAAATTTGTCACATTTTGGGATTCCAGCCTTTTAACAAAAATAGGTTGATAGTGAAGTTAGTGAATTTATTTTCAAAATTACTCTAAAAAATTCAAATTTGAATTTAAAGTGAAATATAGATAAAGATGAAAATAACATTATTGAAAAAAGAGATCAAAAATTACTTTGACTTTGATAAGAAAATAAATATCCCGAACTGTCAATGGGGCGGCGGGAGCATAATCAGACTTCTATAATTGGACAAATTTCTAATGACTAGTTGGGCAAGTACATGATTTACTCAAGATGCCAGCCCTTTAGAGGTGATGGCTTCTAACATTGAACCGTTACTAACAACTTACAATTAAATGACGCCGTAAAGACATGGTACAGTTCCAGCCTTGCAGCAGGCTCAGTATCTCCATTAGTTGAGCTGGAATGTGCCCATGAACCAGTGAGTTATAATTACTTTATCAAATCTCATCAGTATCACGGACAACCATCCTAGACGGAAGCACCATTGCAGCCACAGGATTATTCTCCAGTCCACCACCTTGATCTATTATCAACCGAAGCCCTTCGACGTGGAGCTTTCCATGATGACCACTCAACACAATCGTTGGGGATTTAGTAAGTTCCTACGGAAGTGGTAGAACAAACACAAGTGTTCGTTACATTCTCATGCTACTGCCTACAAGTAAATTGTCCTAGAAACGTAATCATTTTATAAAACACATTAGCACGATAACTTTGAGAACTGAAAACTGAAGATTGTGAATCTATCTAATGTGAATCAATGCACTAATAAGCAATTACCTGAGGAATTTCCCAGACATTTTTCCTCCCACTGAGAGCTTCCACTTTAGAAATCCTCGTGTCCCTGGCTTTCAGAGATTCCATCTGTTTTTGAATCTCTTTATCTTTCTCCAAACCAGCATGTACAGCAATCAATTTACAGTTTTTAATCCCTTCCTCAGTCTCTATGCTGATGTTATCCTGCAATGCTCAACCCATAAAACAGAAATTTTATATCTCGTATGGAGTTACAACCTAAAAACAGTAATGGAGCCTCAAGTGGTTTAGCAGTCTAGTGGTAGTTGTTTAGTCACCAAAGCAAACTCACTAAAAGAGATATACTGGAGCAATAACAGTACCTACCTCCTCATGGACCCAAACCAAATCAGCAAGGAACTTTTTATGTTCATCAGGAACAGCCTTCATCAAATCTGAATAACATAGAATTTTGTGACGAGAAACTAAAGTTCACAAATCAAAAGCTACAAAAGTATTGACCTATGGCAAGGAAGCGACCTTTACCATTGAAAGTTCAAAACCTACACGAATGAGGACTCTTAATATTAGAGGAACAGATATAATGCCAATGCTGACCGTCAACAAGAAAGCAGTCAAGCCAGTTTCGTATCCTTGTTAACTTAAAGAACCCCTTTTCATAGGTGGATATATGAAGAACCATTTGCACATGATATGAACAAAAGAATGCCACCAGAAGCATCCCAGATTAATAGGGTATAGCCACGAGCAGACAGAATGATCGACAATGCAAATATATTAGAAATTTGCAAAACGCCCAAAAGCATACCACATAGGTTCAACACTCAACATCGACCCAAGATATACAATCTTGCATTGAGAAAACAATCACTCATCAATGTAAACATGCAAACCCAAAGAGATGCAGCGTGCCCAAATAAAGATATATTCAAGCAGTATCAAAGTATCAAATTCATACGGGCATTGGCTAATTAAACACAAAAGTTCGCCTGTAGAAAAGAAAATCATACAGAAGCAATCAACAAGTGCAAGGACAATCACAAGGGATCCAAGAATTGCTACAAGAAGCAAGTTTTACCAGCAGATCCATGTGGAACTCCATAAGATTCAAACGTGGGGCAAGCATCATAAATCGATCCCTTGTACTCAGTGCCCTTCAGCGCATTAAATCTGACAGTAATTTTGCCAGCCCATCTCCTTCCCTGCACATGCATATTCTCAAAGCCCTCACCTTTATACCACCCCTCTCTCTCCTCATTCATCTCATACTCCTTCCAAGTCTCCGAGAAGGGGGAGCCATCCGGAGGCCTGGGAAGGACCCCCAAGAACGCCCCAAAGGCAAGATCATGGTTCCCACACAGAAAAACGTGGGACTGTTTCGGGTATTTCGAGGGCAAAGATATCAAGAAATCTATGACTTTGCGGGTGTCAGGACCTCTATCGCAATAATCACCCAAGAAAATGACGAGGGCAGACTCAAAATCAGACGGGCCCATGAGGGTTTCAAGATTTGTCCAGAGTCTCTGGAGCTTGGTCACGTACCCATGAAGATCACCTATGCAACAGACCACTCGGTGTTTTTGGGTGGAGTTGGGGTCTTGAGCTTCAACATTTCGCCCTTCCATGTGCTTTTGCTTGCAGTTGCAGCAGCATTTGTCGTTCGGTCATTAATCGTTTAATTGATGGGGGGCTCTACCTCTACACGACTTTGCCGTAGATTCGGGATTGACGGGACAATAAAAATCTGGTTACGAATGTTGAACGTGAAGTCGATCTTTTATACTCCTCCATCATTTTGTTGTTTTGTGCTTTTGTTGGCGCCCACCGGGGGGGGGGGGGGGGCTCTCATTGAATATTGTTTTGACGTATTACTGTCTTCATAACTATAAAAAATTACATCAAAATCTGAATTATAATTTAATTATATATACTGTGAGATAGATTTAGGGAAATTTGTTGTAATCAGCTTTTGCAGTGGGTGGGTCGATTGAGTCCTCTTGTAAAGGAACTAAGGAAGAGGTGATTTTTTTAGCCCGGATGTCAAAATAGAACCTTGAACACACACCGCTCACGCTTGTGGAAGGAAAGCAACCTCCTAGATTTTAGATCATTCATGGTACATTTGGTGCAGAGCCACATCTAATCAAAACAATTGACTCTAAAAAAAAAAAAAGAGAAAGAGAAAGGAATAAATCCCACTAAGGAAAAGCTACATTGCCAAAATTGTGGGTGTGTTGTAAGGACATCACCGCTTGACATGTCTACACAACACAAAAAATTAGAAGTCCTAATGATGTTTCAGAGCTGTTTTTATCTAGTCTGGAAGTTGAGGTACCTGATGCCGAGAGCAAAGCCAAAGGCGAAGAGAAGTACCCAGCAAATATGAACTACACCAACCACCGGAAGAAAGTCATGATCATAACCCAAGCCGTGTTTTAGATACCCCTTCACCGTAACATTAGGAGACCCGGGCACCACAACTTGGTTAGTTTTATCACCAATTTGACAGGTTATGGTACCATAGATAGACCAAGCCACAGGTGAGCCCCAGTAATACCACCTCCACCAAATTGGGATTTGCTGAAACAATAAAAATATAAACCAATCATCTAACAGTCTTAGGATCAAGATAAAATGTCTCAAGTATTCCATGCTAAGCCGCCACATTCTCATTAGAATTGACTTACTGTCCTAGGAATGAGGAAACCCGAGAACAGATTCCAGAAGCTCATGAAGAAAGACATTGAAATTGCAGCAACTTGAATATTTGGAGTCAGTGCGACTAGCATCATCCCGAACATTGTGTAGTAAGTGTAGCACGTCAACAAGAAATAGTAGAACAAAAAGAATTTGGCTGCTGTCCACTCGAATCCGATCATTGAGTAAATGATAAGAGTGTACACGAAGGTCTGAATTGAAACGTAGAGCACCTCAATCGCTACCTGCAAAACACCCATGAAAATACTCTACTAAATTATCATTGTCCTTGTTTTTAAGTTACACACTACTAAATTATCTGATGTGTGTCCCGTTGAATTTCGCAAAAGACTATTTTGCTGTAAATTTAGCAAGTGTGATCCATCAGAGTGTCCTTGTTGAGTTTTACCTGACCGATGGCATAAGGAAATGCCGAATACATCCCAGCTCCTCGTTCACGGTAGAAAACTGTTCTCTCTATGGAAACCACTCCCTGCACCGAGGAGGCATTGGTGGCTCCCAAGAAGAGGACACAAGAATAGATAGCTCCCATAAGATTCAGCAGATCTTGCTGTACTTGCCTGCCCAGTGAAAAGCTTCATCATTAAGAGCCTACTTTCTAGAGTAGTTTCTATAAGCAACACATGCATAAAGGCTCGGGTTTATCCTTCGACAAGAATCACAAATTTTTGGACATCCTTAACAAGCATTCAAGTTAAGTCATTCCGAGCGAGCGAAGTCATCTGAAGAAACTGTGGACTCACATTTTTCCTCCCTTGTCCCAGAATATGACACCGAAGATAACGCCACAGGCGACTGTCAACATGAAACGAATAGCATTATATCGAGGATTCCGCCAATACGACAATCTTTGTTTCCAGAAACAAGCTCTGATCTGAGTGAATATGGGTTGGGAGTACTTTGTTGGAAAATAAAGATCCTTTGAACCAGGTGGAGCAGTACTGAGTTCTGCTATAAGTTCTTCATTTCTCCTGCAAGTTATCCAAATGAAGACATGGAAAGAGAACAAAAGGGTAAAAGACGAAATGCTTAGAGCAGTCGGTCATTCGGATTTTACTTATAAAGGGCTGATTCAGCAAAAATGTCAGCAAAATCAACTTGCAGCTGAGCCTCAACTGACGGAGTACTGATTTCCAACATCCACGTGGCAGGATTATATCCAGGAGTAATCTTGGGAACTCCTGGGACAACCTGCAGGTGGACAATAAATCAAAGCCCATTGGGAATTTCCTGGCTGACCTTAGTTTCAAAGACAACTAGAATATGTGGAAAGAAGCTACAAACACTTTGGTTTTCCCTCGGATAAATTTTAACCAAATAACAGTAGGAGATACACTTGCCTCAAAGTAATCTATTAGCTTTTGAGAATTGCGACCAAGTGGTCCTGCATAAATCACGCGCCCTCCTCTCTTCATCAAAAGCAACTACAATGAAAATATGTTTAAGTTTAGAAAACTGAACCAAGGGGATTCCACTCGTTTCTCTGCAAAGAATAAATTGATATACTAATGTAAACTGTTGTCACTCTTACCTCATCGAAAGATTCAAAAATGTCTATGCTTGGTTGGTGAATCGTGCACACTACAGTTCTTCCAGTGTCCACAGTATTTCTTACAGTGCGCATAACAATGGCAGCAGCTCTAGCATCAAGACCAGATGTTGGTTCGTCCATGAAGATTATGGATGGATTGGCAACCAACTCTACAGCAATTGTTAAGCGTTTTCTTTGTTCTGTTGAAAGACCATCAACTCCTGGAAGGCCAGCCAACAAATTTCTTATAGGTTTGAGTTCAACCAGCTCCATTACTTCTTCCACAAACATCTGCAGTTCAATTCCAAAGCAAAATAATAGTAAGATGGTTAGCAAAAGGTTGAAGCATACAATTATCAGTCAATATTTATGTTGAAGATCTAAATGAATCACTTACCTTCCGAGTGCTTTCTTTTACATCAGCGGGAAGACGAAGCCAGGCGGAGTATAAGACAGATTCATACACGGTAAGATGAGGTGAATGAATGTCATTCTGTTCGCAGTATCCGCTTATTCTGGCAAATGTGTTCTGGTTTTTCGGGTAACCTGAGATGCAGATGGTTCCTTCAATGTATCCTCCAGTTTTTCGTCCAGCTAACACATCCATCAAAGTTGTCTTCCCAGCACCGCTAACACCTACAAGTGCTGTCAATATTCCAGGTCTGAAACAGCCACTAGCATCTCGTAGTAGTTGCAAACGATCCTCTTGAACCCCCTGACTCTTCATTTCCTGGTAAACCAATTGCAAAATGTTAGACATGAAAGATCCATCTTAGGCATTCTGAGACCCTTCATGGAGAACGAGGGGGCATTTCCAGTTTGAGTTTTAAATATGAAAATCTGAACTAAAGAGCTAGCAGCATTGTTTTTAGTGCTTTTTATCCATTCAAACGTTTTAGCACAAAATGAAAGGGTTGATGTAAATTAAAACTCTTACAGCTGGCATATCCACGGAGTAGTTAATATGGTTGAAAGCTATAGACAATGGCTGGAAGGGTAAAACCATGCCTTTCTTGTCATGTCCATTTGCTTCTGTGCTACTCGAGGCATTTCTGGGTTCCATGTCAGTTCCTGAAATCAGCCAATCATTATATACACCTCAGACCAGCAAATTAATGAACAACACAATAACCGTTATATTTCATATACGGTTGGGGCAAGGAAGCATGTCATGCAGATGTGATGTACAATAAAAGATGCTTTAATTCGATGAGCTTTAAAGCTGAAGCTTAATTTCTTAGTTGCTAATTGCTTTAGAGTCGTGAAACAAGTTTTCGCGTACACGATGTATTACCATATAATTAGAGAAAGAAGGAGCAGGTGTGATTATGTAATCAGAAACATAAGATTTCAAACTCAAAATTCACACCTTAGCAACACCTTAACATTAATCATAAAATGTCGAACCATTAAAGACAGACCAAACCTTCGGATGTTTCCTTGTTGCTTGCAGAAGATGAATTCTTTTCTTGGTTTTCATCCAAGACTACTGTTCTTGAATCACCCAAGGCTGAAGACAAATGCATTGCAAAACTACTTCAATTTCTGGTTTTTATTCCAACTAAAGAGAAAGAGAAGTTCAAGTCAACATATGAGAGTTCCAACATGTAGTACTCACGGTTTAAGAAAGTCAGTGCTACAACAAAGAAACCATTGAAGAGAACGGAGAACCCCAATAGTGCTGCAATGCATATCCAGTACCAGGACCACTCTGTATAGAAGCCTCTTCCTTTCAGGAGGGCTTTCCCTACCGTGGGAGCATCGATTCGGGGGTCCAAATTAGGCTGCATCAAGTGAAATGTTCTAAGATTTTAATTTAGGACTTGTAAGTGCAGTAGAAATAAACAGACTAGAGGATAGATTGTAGAAGGCGGATTATGTAGAAAACTTACTGCACTCCATCTCTTGTCAAGAAATTCGCTCATGACAATAGCATTTTGTCCATAGCTCATTGGAGAAATATAGGTCGCCCATCTTATCCATGGCTTAAGGGCATCTTCAGGCAACAATACGAACACACTTTAGCAACGGCCAGTAATCCTAAAAATCAATCTGCCTTGCAATTGTACTGCATTTCTATTATACCATGCAAAAGTTGATTAATTTAGCTTCTCCACTCTCAAAAAATGCGTAGTTCTTTGTTACACAATATGACGTGAAAGTATTTTGTACTGTGTGAGAATGATTTCTAGGTTTCTTTAAGGAGAATTTTAAACACTCGCCTTTGGCAACCACAAATCCTCCGCACACAAAGACCACTAGCAGAGTGAAGGTACCCAATGTGTTTGCTACAACCTGCGTTCTTCCAATTGCTGCAATAAAGCGGAAAAGAGAGAGAGCCATCGTATGTATACAGAAAAATGTCAGGTACTGTTGGAAGAACCTACAGCATATGGAAGAGAATTGTCAGTGCTGGGGATTTGATTTGATTTGAGAATTTCAATGCACCATAAAATACGAGAGTAGAATTCACAGATTACAGTCATGTTTCCGTTTAGCGAAAT